TGTATAAACGTACTAAAATACCTTTCTTTTGGTAGTTGCATTTTATCTTCCGACTCGTCAACAAGGGTAAATTCATCTTGGTCATTGCTAATCCACTCATTTGTGTTTTGAATGAGATAAAAATGCTCCCTAAAAACTTTCAGATGCGGACACAAGATACCTTTGTCAAGATTGTTAACTTGTCGTGTATATCCTTCAGATATTCGACATAACGAATCATGGCATTTTACTACTTTTCGCAAAGATCTGCATAGTTGGAAAACGGTAACAAATGCACATGAATCAGAAACTACTGAATATCGTTCTACACCAGATTTTGAAGCTAACTGAAAAACATTTGATGCTACACAAGACAAACTTTCCATCAGTTTTTTTCTGTTTATTAAATTATTTTCTGGGGTAAAATCTGGGTTGTCTAACATTTGAAGTAGCTGGTGTAACAATTTGCAATAACAACAGTTGTTGACATTTGTTACGCCTTTTGATTGAAAACCAATAATGGTTGAGAAGGTTTTACAAGAGCAGTTATAAATAGTAGAAGAAATGATGGTTTCTGCTTTTACATGAACAAAATCTTTATCCTTATTTAATGAAAAAAGTTTTTATTAAATAAGGATAAAGATTAATTAAAATTTTTAATAATTTTTAATCTTAAATAAAAAGTCAATAGTAAAATACTTTTTTCAAATTACAAGCATACATTTAAATAATATAAACTAAAAAAGAAAAATAGGTAAACAACAAGTAGAAAGAACATACTTGAAAATTACCACTCTCATGACTGTAATTATTCATTACACAAATACTTAAAGATGGTCCACGAATACGCCAACTAAGAACCCCACGATTGAATAGTTCAGCACAAAAATACTCATAAAGGCTGCATTTTTTGCCTAAATGCTGAACTAAATGAACCTATGACACAAAAGTTGAAGTTTGATGTTTCCTTTATTAATTAAATAAAAAATCAAGTTTTATAAAGAGATTTCGAATTTTGATTACAATAAATAATATTTTATGTTATTTAATTAAGCCTTTTCTGTAATATTTAATTAAGCCTTTTCAGTTTTATTAAACATACCTCATTACTTGAATCAGAGAGCTCAATTTTGTCTGAAATAATTTTTTTTTCACAACTTGAATTATCAGACTAAAATTCAAAATAAAATTACATTTCCTGTTGATATCAAAATACATAACAAGTTAAAACTAGTAAAAAGCTTACACAGTCAACAATGCTCTCTAAAGAAGACAACCGAATCTTCTTTGCAACTGATGATTTAAAAGCTAGGTTTCCTTTACTTGATGGATACTTAAACGTCTCTTTTATGTTAAAAATATTTTTTAAACACGACCTTATTATGTTAACATAATTATTTTGGTAAAAAATGGCCTGGAGAATTCGATTTCTGGGTGATCCGGGAAAATATCGACAAGAAGTTGAAAACTTCTGCTCATATCTCAAAATTTTTACCAGTTTATCCCACATCCATTTATGATGGTTAGGAAGATCAGATAGAAGACTGAATTGATTTTCTAAAGATGGATTTTCTTGTATTGCAGTCCATAATTTTCCATAGCTTGAGTTTCCTTGAGGATTACTCCGATGGAACATAAGACTGTTTTCCCACTCTTCAGCTTTTTCTGAAGGTTGACAAACAAAAAACCTAATTGAAGTTAATTTAAAGTTCAGAAAATTAAAGGAAAAATGAAGTATATAAGTATCAATGTTCTCAATGTTACTCCTTTTTTAGATCATAGGTAAAGGTTCTAGAAACTATAAAAAAAACTACATTAAAATAAGTGGAAAACTAGAAAATTATAAATTTAATTATATTATATGATATAGAGTATAATGGGGTCATATGGAATAGTAAAGAATTTTAATTATTTATTTTTTACAGAAAAAAGATATTTTTAAAATATTATTTAAAGTTGTAGAGAATATTGAGCTACTATTGAGAATTTTATTTTTGATTCTTAAATATTTAAATACAGCTCAGTATTTAAATATATAAAAATTAAAAAAAAAAAAAATTTTAATTTTAGAGAAAACTTTATTAGATTAAAAAAAAATTATTCCATTCTATCCAGTCATTCAGGGAGAATGATATACGCAAATCTTTGTACAAATAAAACAACTCTTTTCTGAAAAAAACAATAAGCAACCAATAATAACCAATAAAAAGCAGTTTATAATAACAATTAAAAAACAACCAAATAAAAAAATATTTCATTCATATCATTTCATATTAGAATAGAGTTAATAACGATCAATTTAATAAATATAAAAGAATTTCGGTTGCTAGAGACTTTTGAGATTTGTTAAAAGCCCCTTTTAAAAAGTAAGCAATTGCTTCGCTTATTATTTACGTATTTCATTCCCCCACAACACTTTGTTTTAACTCATAACTTTTTTCCTAAATACCAAACTTAATTTTAAAAAAGATTCTTGATCAGGGTAAAAAGTTGTACCAGTAAACATTTTAAGTTCAGAGAT